AATGGCCAGTTCTGTTCCTCCTGGAGACGTGCTTTTGCAGGGTGTTTATTTTCTTTTAATTTATTTTGCCTGGTGGGGATGTGCCTGGTTTGACTGTAGGTTCACTTAGATTATTTGGGTGGCTTTCCGCTAGGTCCCCGTGATTGCACACGTCGCAGGGGTTCAGCGTTTTGTTTGTTCGGTAATTTTGGGATAACCAGTTAACCACCTTGTCTGGGCTTCCCTTATCAGTCAACATAAGGGCCCTGGAAACCCCCATTGGGGTTTATTGGTCCAATGGATGCATCCTCAGAGTCCTATTTCACTTTGTGCGAGTTTGAAGGTTACACTGACCCCTTGTCTCAGGGGTGACACTCATTGTTTTTACCTCAACCATGCTGCCTGTTGGGTCAATGACACCTTTGACACGAAGTCCTGCAAGTGGTGTTCCTTGCTTGTACTCCAGTTCACCCAGTCCACTGCTATTGATATGCAGGTGCAGGCAGCTTCAGTGTTGCATGCAAGGTTTAGGTTGCTGTAACGTAGTAGGCTGGTTGCCTTTCCGGATGCCCCGCTTTGATTATAGGGCCACTTTGGTTATAGGGACCCGGACATGGGGGTATTAGTCACCTTGACTTTGGTTTCATCTGCGCCCTCTGGACGTTTCCCTATTGTAGTTCATCCTCTTCAACCCCCTTCCCCCACTACCATCACCACCACTGGGGGTCAGGGCAGGGCTTTCAGCTGATGTTGAGACTCTGCTTCAGGGTGTTGAGACTCGGGCGGCTTCAGGGGCTGCCCAATCAGGTTCAGTGGCGGAGGCATTTGAGCGTGTTCCTTCTGCTGGGGCTTCCAGGTCGGGTCAGTGGACCCCCTTCTTACCTGCTTTTCCAGTGGATTCTGCTTTTTCTCCAGAGGCAGGGGGTTTGGAGAACAGCTCTGACCTGGGTCCTGATGTGGAGGATCCCTGGGCTGGGGAGGTCCTGACGTGGGAGATCCCAAGACATGGGGGGGGGGGGCTCATGCCCTATTTGACCCCACTTGAGGTGTTGGTACCCTCGGTGCAGGGCTTATTACAGGGGGGGGAGGGTTTTCCTATCCCCCCCCCCCCCCCTCCCTATACGAGTTTGATATTTTGGCCCCCACGGGTTCGGTTCTTTGGTTCCCTCTTTCCGGAGGTTTTTGGCTTCCCGCATGCCACCTAGGGAGGTGTGGGAGGCCATTGTGGCTTACCTCCTGTGAGACCCGGATTACTCTTTGATAATGGATCCTTCTTCTTTTCTGTTTTGCTCCTCTCTTTCCTTACTGGGTGCATTATGAGGTGCCGGAGTCTTCCTGGCTGGCAGAATATGCACTTTCTTTTCATTGGGGGTGTGGCATGCGTTCTGTCGGACCCACATGCTTGACTGGCTGGAGTTGACTACGTCATTCAGATTCTCCTGGGGGGAGAGTTGGAGCACCTCAATGCATGCTTGTTCGCCCCTGGCTTGTTCGGCCAGGTGCAGCTTCCCTCCCTTTCGGCATCCCTGGTAGCTGAGGATTTGCATACCCGTGGGCATTTGGCTTTGGTCTTGTGCTTTTTCCTGCTGAAACTGTCTTCGGACTGGCTCGAGGAGAATGTGGAGGTGCTGGGTTCCGGGCCAGCGTCTGGTGCTCTTGCCTCGGCGGCTCGGTGTCGGTTGCCTTGAAGTTGTTTGCGCTGATTCTGTATGAAGAGGTGTGTCTGTTCTTTGCTTCTCACCTCATGTGCCGACAGGTGGTGCTCATCCATTCTTTGGAATCTGCTTGGGCCCCTGGCTCTTAGATTTTTGTCCCCGTTTTGTCCATTGATGTTTGCAGTCTTTGATGTTGCATTTTCTACAGGTAGCTTAGTCTAGTTGCCAGCCTATGTCGAACTTGTTGGTCCTCCTGAAGGGTTGTGCCAGGACTCGTGTTTCCTTTGGTTGTCGTAAGCCAGTAGTGCCAGATTTGGGGCCGGCCCCACCTGCAGAGCCATCGGCATCTGTTCGCGCGCAGTGATCGCTCTGAGCGCTGGTCGGGCTCTCATAAGGGTCGTCGGCCCTTTCGTGGTTCGCCCCATTGACTGGGCGATGGGGAGGGGGGGGAGCTCGCGTTGTTTGCTCGCGCCTGGTCCCACAATTTGTGGGCATTTCAGGTAGTTTTCTCTGGCCTGTGGTAGCGTGGTGGCTACTTTTACTTCAGGGCTGATGGGGGCAGACCTTCTATTATTATGGGACTAGTTTTAAAATACGCGCCTTTTTATTGCGAACAATTTGATACCAAAATGAAAGACGTAACACGAAAATTGATGTTATCAAACTGAACGAGTATACACATTAGGTTGCAGTGTACAAATTGGTGCTCGTTCACGGGTAAATTTAGGCTTTTCTGGGGGAGGCACTCCAAACTTTTGTACATTATATTCATACACATCTGTAAGGAATTTAATTGCGAACACAATGATACAAAAACGAGCAACGTAGCATGAGAATTAAAGTGAGAAAAATGGAACGAGTATGCACATTTTACAGATTTTATGCGCTCACGGGTAACTTTTGCCGACTTTAGGCTTTGCTGTTGGGAGTCACACCAGGCTTTTGGACATTATATTTATACACACCTGTAGGGATATTAATTGCGAACACAATGATACCAAAACGAGCGACGTAGCACGAGAATTAAGGTGAGAAAGCTGAAACGAGTATACACATTTAGGTGTCACTGCGCGCTTGCCCCACGTTGGGTGCATGACCCATAAGTTGACAGCGCGCCTGCCCGGTGACGGATAGTGTTAAGTTCTATGACCAGGCAAGATGGATAGGGCTGGGCAGACTGCATATTTCTGGACTGCCAGAAAGCCTTTGACACAGTACCACATAAGAGACTAGTGCACAAGCTGGAGATGCAGGTAGGAGTGAAAGGGAAGGTACTCCACTGGATAACGGAGTACCTAAGCAACAGAAGACAGCGAGTCACTGTGAGGGATGAGGTCTCAGAGTAGTAAGGCGTCACCAGTGGAGTCCCACAGGGATCAGTCCTTGGACCTATGCTGTTTCTGATATACGTAAATGATCTCGCAGATTGTATAGACTTGTTCCTCTCAATGTTTGCTAATTATGCAAAAATTTAGGAAGATAAAGACAGAGGAAGATAGTATGAGGCTTCAAGATGACCTAGACAAACTGAAGGAATGGTCCAACAAATGGCTATTAAAGTTCAGGCCAAGTAAATGTAAGATAATGAAATTAGGTAGAGGAACTAGGAGACCAGACACTGGATACCGAATGGGAGATGAAGTCTTTCATGAACGGATAGAGAGAGAGAGATAAGGAGTTGATATCATGCCAAACATGTCTCCTGAAGCCCCACATCAAACTGATAACATCGGCGGCGTATGCGAGGCTGGCTAACATCAGATCTGCCTTCAGAAACCTGTGTAAGGAATCCTTCAGAATTTTGTATACTACATATGTAAGGCCAATCCTGGAGTATGCGGCCCCAGCATGGAGCCCGTACCTTGTCAAGCACAAGATGAAGCTGAAAAAAGTTTAGAGGTATGCCACTAGGCTAGTCCCAGAACTAAGAGGCATGAGTTATGAAGAAAGGCTGCGTGAACTGCCCCTCACATCACTGGAAGACAGAAGATCTTGGGGAGACATGATCACCACATACAAAATTCTCGGGAATTGACAGGGGGTAGACAAGGATGGATTATTTAACACGGGTGGTACACGCACAAGGGGGAGAAAGGTGGAAGCTGGGTACCCAAATGATCCATACACACATTTGAAAGAACTTTTTCAATGTCAGAGTTGTTAGTAAATGGAATGCACTAGGAAGTGATGTGGTCTTGGCAGGTTCCATACACAGTTTCATATGTAGAGACTGTATGATAGAGCTTGGGAATCTGTTCACCAGTAGATTTGACGGGCGAGAGGCGGAACCAAAGAGCCAAAGCTCAACCCCACGAACTTGACTAGGTGAGTACAACTATGTGAGTACATAAATGATAGTCCACATAAATGGTAGACCACGTAAAGGGTATACAGTAGTAAGAAGAGCCTTGCTACTGCTGTTATGCCTATACATGTTTTAGAATTGCATGTACATTTGTTCATGAAAGGAAGAATGCATACAAATTGTCCATGAAATGAGACTACTACAAACAGAATATGCAGAAGTTATATGGTGCCCAGTGTAGCCAAGCATATAAAAAAAATAAATGAAGAGATGCTGAGGCAATAAATTTGCAAAAACAAATGGAAGAAGAAATAGGTGACATTATCACCACATGCAAAATTGTAAGAAATTTAGAAAGCCGATGAGGACTTTGCCAAATCTGGAACATTGAGAACAAGAAAACGTAAATTTGAGCCAAGAAAATATAATGCCCCCCCAAAAAAAGACAATTTAAGGAAGACAGGACACCCCTCAAGCATAGCTTTCATCCTGTATATCACACTCGAGTAATTTACTCAGATTCACCCCACGACAAGATGCTGTTCCTTTCTAACGTTTACCATCACATTTTATTGTAATTGGAGATTGTGTATTTTGAAATAATTTGTGGCTCAGGCTCTGGTTTGCTATACATTTCTGTATTTCTAAAGGATACAAACAGTTTGTATATTCATTGAACTCACCAGGTTCCTGGAAGACCCTATAGTAAAACCAATAACAGAACATTTTTAAGTGATGCATTATACTTTGGGGAAGATAGGGAGAACACCATTTGTAATCTTTTATAATTCATTATAAAAGATGAAAATTAGAAGTTAACGTTATTTACGGATCGGCAAAAGATGATGCCTTAAAACTATCAGCCAGTCGACTGCCGGGACTTTCATATATACAGTGTTCTGAAGCCTTTTATTCCATCTGTTGATTGCATATGCAAATACTGGTGTGATGGCTTTCGAGTCTTGGATGGTGCAAATAGGGCTGAATTATATTTTTAGAGTTAAGGCTACACCTTCCAACCCTGCCTACAAAACGATTGCCAATACTCGTTTTGCCGCCAGATATGCAGCCAATCCCAGATCGCAAAAACTGCTGCACATCAGACTTCTCCAAACGTTGAGAGATACTGCCATTTCAGCAAAAAAAAGTCAAGAACGACCTCATTCTCCCATTCCACCATGGACGATACCTTTCATTTCTTCTTGCCAGCTGAAATTAAAAAAGGCCCGGCGTTCACAGAGGTAATTAATTACTGCCCTATTTCATGAGCATAAGAGGGATTCTGCCCAATGTGAGCACATTATTGAATAATTAAAACAAGTTGGAAACCAATGACGTTTTTGGTTGTGCTGTTACATACGATGACACATTTTCAGAGCAAAACATAAAAAATTTACATCCGTATATTCTGCAGAATTATTAAATGTAATTTTTCAAGCCTTGCTCATTTAACTTGAGATCCCTAATGTAATTTTTGTCATACATACTGACTTCCAAAGTACAATTTTATCTCGACCAGTTTAACCCATGCCAACCCCTGTTGTGAGGGCACGGGAATGGCTTTACAAGTTGTCAACCAAATTAGTCTGTTTTGGTACTTCATGCTCCATCTCTATTCCATCAACGATCACATTGTGTAAAGAACAACAAAGTAGGGATATTGATTCAGATAATAAACCAAAATCAATAAAACACTATCCTTCCCTGGCCATCATCTCACCAGCCTCACAAAGACAACAAACACCACCTGGAGTGTATCCATAGTTTCACTGACAAATGTTGTACTAATCTCTCTTGAATGAACTGTATTGAATGTAGACAGTATAATTTAGATAGACAAGATTGTGGGTTTGCCAAAAGGACCATTATGGAGATTCTAGGGAAATAGTTGTATTTACCCTTTGTTCAATAATTGTAAATCCTATTTAAAACTACATTAGCACTGAATAATCACTTACCTTAGCGTTGTAATCCTATCCCAATTAAAATTGGGAATAAAGGGGGGAAAGGGGGGGAGGGCATCGTGCATCCTAGCCACCACTTGCATACACCCATGTCAACCTGCAAACCTCTATTAATATCCAAACTCAAAGACCTATTCTTGCAGTCTCTCTGTTCTTGAGCAACAACACACACACACACACCCTTGTAAACATCAGTTTAGCTATCAAGATATTAGATTGCATCCACACTGCCCTACTCTATCCAAATAGTCACAGCAGAACTGACAAACATGATTTCTTGAGATTATCTTGAGATTATCTTGAGATGATTTCGGGGCTTTAGTGTCCCCGCGGCCCGGTCTTCGACCAGGCCTCCACCCCCAGGAAGCAGCCCGTGACAGCTGACTAACACCCAGGTACCTATTTACTGCTAGGTAACAGGGGCATAGGGTGAAAGAAACTCTGCCCAATGTTTCTCGCCGGCACCTAGGATCGAACCCAGGACCACAGGATCACAAGTCCCGCGTGCTGTCCGCTCGGCCGACCGGCTCCGTGATTTAATTTATCAGATAATGGATAAACTCAAATAAAAATTCTACTACAGTAGTATGCTTCACAAACCACCCATTTCTATTCGTGAAAGGCTGAACACAACCCTCTACACCAAACGGGGCTCCCAACGGGAGAAGAATAGAGGAAAGGCTAGTGTCCAAAGTGTTCTTTATTAGTTATATAAAATATATATTACTAAAAAAGAAAGGATGCTACCAGGAAGATTACTTTCTATAAGGATTTCCCTACATTGTGAAGGATGGCACAGGACTGCCTTAATATGCTACAAAGATTTGGCAAATGATTCCATGAAACGATTTCAGCCAAAACAGCATCTTGAAAAGCTACACTCAGCGTTACCTTGAGGTTATCTCAAGATGATTTCGGAGCTTAACATCCCCATAGCTCGGTCCTCGACCAGGCCTCTTTCTTTTCTTTTCTTTTCTTTCTTTTTTTTTTTTTTTTTTTTTTTTTTTTTTTTTTTTTTTTTTCTGTTGCACACCCCCAGGAAGCAGCCCGTAGCAGCTGTCCAACTTCCAGGTACCTATTTACTGCTAGGTGAACAGTGGCATCAGAGTGAAAGAAACTGCCCATTTGTTTCCACCTCTGCCGGGGATCGAACCCGAAACCTTAGGATTACAAATCCCGAGTGCTGTCCACTCAGCTGTCAGGCCCCTCCTTTTGAAGGTTGCCTCAAAAGGTTCGCCTTTTTTATCTGGAAATCCATGGTTTGAGAGAATTGAGTTGGATTACCATGAATCCATCCAGCAGACATCAAAGGCTACCATACATGCATTATATGTAGATACATTGCATATTGTCAGGAATAAGAAGACTCGTACAGTTGGAGAAATTGTGATTAAACCATACTTCCTTGATAGTGCAATGCTTGATCTTGATAATGATGCAGTAAGTAAGCTGAAGCAAATCCTGCTGTCTAATAATTAATGCTGTACTATAAATGATAATTACAAAGATAGTCATCAAAGATTTTTGCCATTCAAATAGATGAAACTTTTATCAAACCCTGTCTGTTGCTAAATACGATCTCGTGCAAACTGACTGTGCCCATGGTAATGATTGTGGAGTGTATATCCACAATACACCCCTGGGATGGCCGTGTTTTGTTGGGTTACCTCTCCTCTAATTGTGGTTCCATGATGGATGTGGAGGCTTAACTGTGGATAAAAAATTTGTTTATTCTATGTTGATTTTCGACCCTCTTTCTCCTCCTCGGGGTTGTGGGGGTGAGCAACCAGCCCCCAAGTCGGACCGTAATATAAGGATGGGCTCCGTAGCCCCGGCTGCATTAGACCCAGACCCAGCTTTATCTCTGATTACTTCTACTGACTAGTAGCCTACTGGTGTGGCTACTTCCATTGTCGTAACTGTGCCATTCTGCCCCTCCTTCCTAGGGTTCACGGAACTATCCCCATGCATGTTTGCTTCCTGCTTCACCTGCTAAATTCCAGGATTTGTTTAGCCCCACTTTGTGGCCTAAGTATTATGATCTTTGTCCTGACAACCATACCCACCCTGATGTACATATCCATTGACACTTGGATGACTCTGGATTCCCAGGTTGCTTTCAACCCTACTTTGACTGATCTTCATATAATTGCGGCCCATTCTCAGGAGGCGACCATTTTCCTTGCTTGCTGAGACGCCATTTCAGGTGTCCAAAGATGCTCTATTGAATATCATCATTTGCAATGTTTGTTGTGACCGGTGCTCAGGACCTCCAAGACTGCCATGAGGATATTAAATATATCCTCGAAGCCTAGGGTTTTTCTTTCCACCTGATTGACTCCTCTAACCGTCCCCTTCGTTGTTATTGTCTTTCTCTTCATATTGTTAACTTTTGATGGTAAGACACTTCTTGCTGGTGCCTGATGTACAGTACATCCATTCTCTATGACTGTATAAGAGGTTGGCAGTTTGGTCATGGCTCTTCCAGGTGCAGCTGTGAGGTATCCTTTTGCCCCTCATGTGGTGACCCTGGGTGTTTTCGTACTGATTGCTCTTCTTCCCAAGCTTGCTGCATCAACTGCATGGAGACCTGATGTGCCTTTTCTTGGTCATGCATCCCTTATAAGTTTGAACAAGGCAATCTTCCTTACCCTGAAGCATTACGATCATATTTTTCAAAGACTCGGCACCTGGTCTACCGTCTTGATGCTTTTTCTTCCATTACTCATGGATCGAGTCGTACTATTCTCCACCCTTGTTCCCTTCCATCGTTCTCCAATCGTATCCAAGTCTTAGACCCAGACATGCATACCAGCTGCTGCTCTTCTGCTCCTGTCTATTCCATGACCATAGGTGTTGCTCTTGCTTCTCTGTCTGTTCCACCCCTCCTTCTCATTCGTCTCCTACTTGCCCGGTTAGTGCTGCTTCTCTCCTTCATTCTCTTCTTTCCTGTGCCCTCCTTCACTTTTCAACGACATCTTTCTTCTGTCTTCTCACACCTGTACCTCCAGGCTGATGCCCATCCTCCTCCCAGTCAGTCATCTTAATTTACTTCCTATTATACTTCCCAGGGTGTAATAGTAAGTTCAATATAACAGGAGGTATAATATAATTAGGAAGTTAAAAATCCATCTCCCTATTTTGTCAGTAATTCTTTTTGTGCATATTTTGTGTGCAAAAACACCATGATCACATTTGTCAAAAGCTTTTGCAAAATCTGTGTATTATATGAGCATTTTGCTAGTCTTCTATGGCATCTAAGGCAATGTCATAGTGGTATAGCAATTGAGAAGGGCAGGAATGCTGTTTTGAATCATTGTTGACCAGGGATATGTAAACACTGTGATTGTTTTGTGATATTACTTACACACTTTTGTAGATTTATGTGATGTGTGATGTTAGTTATTGGTCAAAAAAAAAAAAAAGAATGCATCTGCTTTACTTCCTCCTTTGTGGAGTTTCTTGATCTCTGCTGTTATAAGTGTCATGGGCCCTTAATATCTAGGCTCCATCTCCAAAAGCTGTTTAAGGCCTGCGATTTTATTATTTATTTTTCAGTTCTTGATGAATATAGAATTTAGAGTCTGGGTCTGGTGCAGAGTGCATGGGCATGGTGTGCTATCTGGCTTTTTCAAAGTCAAGTGGGGTTAGGGTGATGTCTGATATCTACCGTAATTCAATGGTGGTATCACATTCATAAAAAAATAATTTGGATCATTGATCTTCAATGTGTTCAGGTGTTCACTGAAAACAGAATCATTCTGTAGCCTCAGTTTTTTCACTCATTTCTTTGTCGTAATCTGGGAAAGTTTCATCACCCTTGCTCAAGGGCCCAGTGCAGAATGTAGTTTTTGTTCCAGATTTTGCACAGAAGAAAGTGTTTGGATTACTGAGTACTGTATTTGACTTAGGGTCTTTTGCTTTCTGCCTCTCTTGGATTTTATACGATTTTTGAAAAGTTAGCTTGATAGTTTCTATTTCTCCAAGTAGCCTTCTTTGTCGTTATTAGGATAAAGTGGAGCATTTGAGATATTGTGCTTTTTTTTTTTTATCTCCATCTGTAGAAGGAACGGTGTGTTCTCATTCTAGTTTGCATTTTTTTCTTCTCTATAGTGGTGTGCAACTTACACAAATTTCTAGTGCTATCGGGCCTATTTTCTCAAGGCACTGGTTTAAGTTTGCATTATTAAAATGGAATTTTGTTAATTCTCCTTGGAAGTTGTTACCCATTTTGATGAAAGGTTTACCATTTGGTCACAATACTGTAGTTTTCTCGAGCCAAATGTGAATGGGCTCTGACTTATGAACATTTTATAGTAAATTTAAACAAAAAAATTGATTTGGTTGCTGTGATGCAATGGTTAGGAGTCGACATGTTTGCAGCCTGTTTTCGAAACAAGGCCTAGAAAGCTTATGAAAAAATTGAGCATCAGCTGTGTGAGCATATATAAAGTTCATTTAATTCAGAAACAAGAGAAGCTTCTGCAGCATGAATTTAATAATAATAATTATTATGAGTTACAGTACTATTAAATCCATGCAGCAACAGCTTCACTTCATGAATTAAATGTACTCTATATGACTCGCTGCTGATGGTGCTCCATTTTTCACAAATAGCTTTCTTTGCTTTATTGATTATAGTATACATCTTGTAATGACTTCCTACTCTTAAATCCAATTACACAGCTGAAGGATTAATAGTGCATTACGTGCATAGCTTTGTTGAAAATATTTGCCTACTAGTACAGTACTTTCTTGTAGTAAGGATGGTTTACATTTCCTAATATTCAACATTACTTTTTTTATTAATCACATTGAGGTAACATTTTACCTAATTATAAATCATAAAATGTCATTTTATTTGTATGTGTATGCGTGTGCTAATGTCTTTTAAAGTTCTAATGTTAGTGCAGTATTCCCTTTTTTTTATGTCCAAAGTAGGATACAGTATTACTGTGTGTCCTTTAATTCACACATGTTTGTTGTTTATCAATGTCACTTTTCTCTCAAGATTAGCAGACAGATTTTGATGATACAGTAGTGTACCTTATAAAGTACAGTATTAAATTTGTTTAGATAATATTATAACCTAATATACCTTGCTTAATCCTCCAGAGGTGGAAGGAATCTGTACTGTTTTGGCATAATTTGGTTAAAAAAGAACACTTGTCATTGCAGTTGCAGTAACATGAACAAATCTAATCAATAGCATTGCTCCTTGTTTTTCAAAGTGCACACAGCACATGTACAGTATGTTTAATACTGTAATTTTAAGCTTCTTTCAATAAAATATTTGCATATTAGTTGGTGTGAGTATGGAAGTGATGGACATCTTTAAGTATTTGGGAAGTGTTTTCAGCAAGGATGGGAGAGTGGAAGCAGAGTTGGCTGAAAGGGTGACAGAGTGCAGTATCACTGAGGAACTAAACAAAAGGTAAGAAAGTGATCATGCAAGTGTGGTGTGTTCTATTCTTGAACGTGTAAAATGCCCTTTTGTATGTCTGAGGAGTGGGACAAGATGTTGCAAGATTTATGGGGAAGTGTGTGGATACAGTTAACTTTTTCTGGAGAACAATGTTGATCACATGAATAGGTCATAATTTGAGAGTTGGAATGAGTTTGGTAGTTATGTTGCAATTTAGGCACACATTTATTATATATGTGTGATGCATGTGTTATTAACCGAGTGTAGTTACAGGTTGAAAGCTACGCATGTGGTGAATGTGGAGATTGGGAACTTTTTTGGGGGGGGAATAGGAAGGTGGGGGGGGGGGCAGAGGGTGTATGCAAGTGCAGAGAAATGTAATATGCTACATAAATTGTCAGTGTAGCATATTACAAAGTTTCAGTATACAATATTACTGTGTAATTTTAGGGGGCAAGTCAGGAAGAGACTATTGATATGTGTGACTTTTAAAGAGTGAAACAGTTAATTACCCTCTTGTGCCAATACATGAAAGAATGACATTTAGTTGCTCTTTTAATCTGATTTTTAGTACAGTACTAGCACTTCATGGAGTTAATTACTTCTCATTATTAATGTTTGAGTTTAAATGAAATCTGAACCAATGCTTTATGTATAATTTATTAACAATGTTTTGTTTTCATCACACTTGCTCTTATATTTTGAGATGTTACATTTATGCATGTGCACACACACACACTCAATGCATGTGTCTACGTGCGCACACACCCATGCACACTCTGTAACTACACTTGGGTAATTACACACACCACACACACTATCTTTTCTAGATAGAGAACTATCACTCGAGGATCACATTAAGAACATTGTACGAGGGACCTATGCTACACTTTCTAACTTCAGAATTGCTTTTAAATACATGGATGGTGGAATACTAAAGATATTGTTCACGACTTATGTTAGACCAAAGCTGGAATATAACAGCGGTTGTATGGTGCCTTTATCTTACAAAGCACATCGACAAACTGGAAAAGGTGCAAAGACATGCCACTAAGTGGCTCCCACAACTGAAGGACAAGAGCTACAAGGAGAGGTTAGAGGCATTAAATATGCCAAAACTAGAAGACAGAAGAAAAAGAGGTGATATTATCACTACGTACAAAATAGTAACAGGAATTGATAAAATTGAAAGGGAAGATTTCCTGAGATCTGGAACTTCAAGAACAAGAGGTCATAGATTTAAACTAAGCACAGATGCCAAAGAAATATAAGAAAATTCACTTTCGCAAACAGAGTGGTAGACGGTTGGAACAAGTTAAGTGAGAAGATGGTGGAGGCCAAGATTGTTGGTAGTTTCAAAGCGTTATATGACAGAGTGCTGGGAAGACGGGACACCACGAGCGTAGCTCTCATCCTGTAACTACACTTAATTACACCTTGTGGTTTGGGGTGGCTAAGTGGACAGCACACTGGACGCGTAATCCTGTGGACCGGGGTTCGATTCCCAGCGCTGGCAAGAAACAAAATGAGCAGTTTCTTTCACCCTGATGCCAATGTTACCTAGCAGTAAATAAGCACCTGGGCATTAGCCAGCTGTTTTGGGCTGCTTCCTGGATGTGTGGGTGTGTGTGTGTGTGTGTGTGTGTGGGGGGGGGGGGGGATTAGTTAGTAACAGTTGAAACAGGCCGAAAGAGCAGAGCTTAACCCCCGTAAGCACAACTAGGTGAATACACACCCACCCACACAAACTTGTTAGGCCAAAGCTAGAATATGCAGTTTTAGTATGATGCCCATATCTTAAACACATTAACAAACTGGAAAGGTGCAAAGACATGCCACTAAGTGGCTCCTAGAACTGAAGGGCAAGAGCTACGAGGAGAGGTTAGAGGCATTAAACATGCCAAAACTAGTATATAGAAGAAAAAGAGGTGATATGATCACTACAGTATGTACAAGATAGCAACATGAATTTATATGAACATGTTTGCTGATGATGCTAAGATAATAAGGAAGATAAGAAACTTAGATGAATGCCATACCCTTCAAGAAGACCTGGACAACATAAGTATATGGAGCACCACTTGGCAAATGGAATTTTGTGAATAAATGCCATGTTATGGAATATGGAATAGGGGAATATAGACCCCACACAACCTATAAATTATGTGATAAATCTTTAAAGAATTCTGATAGATGTAGGGTGGTTCTAGACAGAAAACTATCACCTGAGAATCACATTAGGAACATTGTGCAAGAAGCCTATGCTACACTTTCTAACTTCAGAATATACAGTGGTTGTATGGTGCCCTTATCTTTCGAAGCACATCAACAAACTGGAAAAGGTTCAAAGATATGCCACTAAGTGGGTCCCAGAACTGAAGGACAAGAGCTATGAGGAGAGGTTAGAGGCATTAAATATGCAAAACTAGAAGCTAGAAGAAAGAGGCGATATGATCACTACGTACAAAATAGTAACTGTAATCGATAAAATTGATATGGAAGAATTCCTGAGACCTGGAACTGGAGAAACTAGAGGCGTTAAACATGCCAAAACTAGAAGATAGAAGAAAAAAGGTAATATGATCACAACTTACAAAATACTAACAGGAATTGATCAAATTGATAGAGGAATTCCTGAAACCAGTAACATCACAAACACAAGGACACTGATTCAAGGAAACAAAGGTGCTGAAAAAACATTAGAAAGTTTTCTTTCACAAACAGTGGTAGACAGTTGGAACAATTTAAGTGTGGTGGTGATGAAGGCCAACACCGTCAGTATATATATTTTTTTATTATTAATTAATTAATAATATATATATATATATTGGTAAGCCTTTTCTCTAATACAGTACATAACTGTTTTAGTTATGGAGGTAATACAGGGTCATAGGAAAACTGCTGTTTATTATTGTTAGTCTTCACACTACAGTACACTATTTTTCTTAATCTTGTATGTCATTTATCTACTGGAAGCAAAACATGGATGCAGTGCAAGGATTTCTGGTATTTTATCCTTAGTAGTAAGATGTAATTGCCATTTCATGCAGTGTGCGTTTAGATTTATCTCTTAAATAGTTTAATTTTATCACATTCTAAGATGTAATGTCCTAGTGAGTGTGTGTGTGTCTTTGTCCACACAATTTACTTCATCCAGATCACCAAACAAGCCAAATTCCAGATATACCTGTAGCCAAGTCTTATTCAAGCTGTGACAGTCTGTTAGTCTGCTGGTTTTGTTACTTTGCCCCATACACATGTTTTGTTTGACACATTTCATTGTGATGAACAATGGTCTTGCCAGTTCGTTTCCACTCTTTTGCTTTCTTCAAATTCATCTAAAGAGTTCTCATCTAATGACACATTTAATGGACCTATTTGATAACTCAAGATTCCGTTCAACCTTGTCTTTATTTACTACAATCTTTATCAAGGGCTGGTTGTACCTCTGTCACTCTTTCCTGTAACTGTTCCTTTATTAGCAATTTCATCTTCATTTGTGTACATGACTTTTATGCTACTCTTGACAGTTGGGCTGCTTTTATTTTTCCAAAGGAGTATTTGTTCATGTTATCAGCATTTCCATATCAGTTAGGGGAAAAGGGGGAGATTATGGTGGACCAGTCACTTGCGTGGCACATTGGTAGCTTGCACCTTTCATTCAGTCTATACTCTCGCCCATATGGTGCCAGTTAGGTCATATGTCATCGCCCAGAGCCCAACACCATTCAATATTATGTTCAAATTCTTATCATTACTCTCTATGGTTGTAATGTAGTCCTGAATACCAGGTAATCCAATCATCAATTGAAAAATGTCTTGTAGAAACAATTGTGTTTGTGAATTATGTGATTATCAAGTTACTCAAGACACACACCCTTTTTAAATAAAGGAAAAATGAGTGATAAATGATCAGTAAAATAACTGAGGATAAAACAGGATGTGTCAGCAAAGTCTGGTGTTGACAGGTGCCAGACACAGTCGCAACCTTCTTTCAAATCCAGGATCCCATCACAATGGTTGTACAAATATAGAAATCACTTGTACTGTCCCATCTTAAGTACTGCTCAGTACTCACTTCCCCCTTCAGAGCAGGAAAGATTATTGAAATAGAGGGAATACAGAGGACATGTATGGCATACATAGACGCAATAAAGCACCTAAATTATTGGGATCGTCTCAAAGCTCTCCAAATGTACTCGCTAGAAAGAAGAGGGGAAAGTATCAAATAATATACACGTGGAAGATACTGGAGGGCCAGGTCCCAAATCTACACAGTAAAATAACAACAAACTGGAGTGAACAATATGGAAGAAATTGCAGAATAGAACCAGTGAAGAGCAGGGGTGCCATAGGCACAATCAGAGGACACTGTATAAGATCAGAGGTCCACGGTTGTTCAACATCCTCCCAGCGAGCATAAGAAATATTGCCGGAACAACCGTGGACATAAAGAGAGAACTAGATAATTTTCTCCATGATCTTTCTAGATCATCTTTCTTCAAAACTAGATCTTTTCTAGATCATTTTCTCCAGTCGGACCGACGGACTCCCCGGTCGGTCTGGCGTGCCGGACAGACTGGGCTTTTGTGGCTGTGTGGGCCTGCGGGCTGCTGCAAGCAACAACAGCCTAGTGGACCGAACTCTCACAAGTCAAGCCTGGCCTCGGGCCGGGCTTGGAGAGTAGAACTCCCAGAACCCCATCAAGTAGGAGCACCTTCATCCAGTGAAACCATAAATATTTACTTATATTCCTGGTTTTTCTTACATTTTGCAATAAATTAATAATTCTTTAATGAAAATTGTATTGAAAATGAATTTTTTTTTTTTTCATCCTTCCTTCCTCCCTCCCTCCCTCCCTCCCTCCCTCCCTCCCTCCCTCCCTCCCTCCCTCCCTCCCTCCCTCCTCCTCCTCCCCCCCCTCCTCCTCCTCCCCCCTCCCTCCCTCCCTCCCTCCCTCCCTCCCTCCCTCCCTCCCTCCCTCCCTCCCTCCCTCCCTCCTCCTCCTCCCCCCTCCTCCTCCCCCCCCTCCCTCCCTCCCTCCCTCCCTCCCTCCCTCCCTCCCTCCCTCCCTCCCTCCCTCCCTCCCTCCCTCCCTTCCTTCCCTCCCTCCCTCCCTCCCTCCCTCCCTCCCTCCCTCCCTCCCTCCCTCCCTTCCTTCCTTCCTTCCCTCCCTCCCTCCTTACTACTACTTCTGTCTCCTCCCTTCCTTTTTTCCCCCCCTCTTTTCCCCCCTCCCCCCCTTCCCTACACATGACCATTTCTCCGTAGTCTCTGTCCAAAGGTTAACCAAAAATTGAACCTTGTCTATTCATTCTTTACCTGAAGGTGTTCCAGAAAGGAACGATATGTAGAAAATACATCTTTCAGTAATTACTAGAATTTCTTTTCCCATGAATTTTGGTAACTTAATTGTCCTTCTTAATACTGATACTAAGAAAATAGTAGCATAGAAAACTTGCATTATAAGATTAACAAAACTAGCAGTGTGTTCATATTTAACTAAATATGTTTAAAGGGCTGGCCAAGTACGTGTGTCACATGGGTATTTTTCCACTAGTTCTATTTTTTTTTTTCCTTAATTTATCTTCTTCAAATTGTTCTTACAGAAGTTTTTGTTTAGTAGTAATTTAAATTTCTCCTCTCCCAACAGCCCATCCGTGAATAATGATGAACAGGTCAAACCTCGGTCATTACGCTTTACATGGAGCATGAAAACGACATCATCACGTGACCCCAATGACATCATGGCCGAGATTCGCAAGGTAGACCACCCCCAGCACCATGAATAGCAACGACAAGTAATCCACCCGCTGCATGTCCTGCTTAACACACTGTCTTCATGCTAGCAGCTATCTCCCTCGGTGCCCCCTCACTCCCTACTCCCCAGTACCATGCTACTACTGCAGTTATGAACACTTTCCATGTTTCTGTCACTTTCTCCACAAAATCATTACTCTCAGACTTACACACTTTACCTTCCCACCCTCCAACCCCCCCCCCCTTTCCCCCCACACACTTCACTTCCTCCCCCTCTCTTCTCTCCTTTCCCCTCCCCTCCATACCAATCATCCCCCACCCTCAGTTCTACCTCTTTCCCCCTTCCCTCCCCTACATGTTCCTTCACAGAGTCTTGATGTAACAAAAATCTTGACAACTCCCGAAGTACTTGGGTCTGTGTGTGCACATCCATGTCATTAAACTAGGTACCACAGCAGAATATCTGAGCTGTGGATGCTTGTAGACAATTTATAAATGTCATGCCAGATTTGATCTAATGTTAGTTTGATTTTCCCTCCCCGATATTTTTGTTTTGTTTTGGAGCATCATATATAATGTTGTGATGTATCTTTTGGTTATTTATTTAATTTATTATAATTTATTAGATTTATTTTTAATTTTGCCTGCCCCTATCCCCCTCCCAGATGATATCAGCTTTTTATCCTTTCCTTTTTATGAATTGAAAATTTAGCACCCATTTCCTTTCAAAGTGATTTCTTCTCAGATCTTGTATTCTATTTCAGTAATTCTTTTAAGAAAAAAAAAGCAGGTCATCAGATGGGTATTATACTGGTACCAAGTTGAAACATTTTGACGTCAAATTTAAACCTCGTCACTTTTTTTTTATTACATTTGCATGGATTCTATATTTTCCTGTTGAGGTACTGTCATGTAATTCAATGGCCTGATATTAGGTCTTGTTACTTTGCATGTAACTTTGTAGCAGGAAGTCCCAGTTACAGTGTGGTGTTGTTTTTTGAATAGTCTGGAAGTAGAGAGATAGCTTCTGTATCAGGACAGTGTCTTGTATTTGTAATGTAAGTGTGAGTTCAGAATGTGCATTTTAGAATTGTTGCAAAGCTGCTCCTTGCATCAAAAATTGATTTGATTTGAATGATATTTTAATGTAGCATGGGAAAGTTAGAACTAGTTGACGAAAAAAACTTTTCTTCAGAACTAATCTCTCGTTCTGGTATTCTCCATTATGTTGCAGGTTTTAGATGCAAACAACTGTGATTATGAGCAGCGAGAAAAGTTCTTGCTTCTTTGTGTTCACGGGGACCCTAATACAGACTCCTTAGTACAATGGGAGATTGAGGTATGTCAAAAAGAAGATATATATTTTCAATTCCAATTTTATCTCTTGAAATCGTCTAGTATAGTAGAAACTTGCAAAAGATATTGTGTTAAAGTTATCAAATATTTAAATGAAAGTATTAATATGGAATGGCTCTTAGGCTGTTTTTATGCTTAATACCTTCTTTAGCCCTTCATTGAGAATCTAAATTTTAAAAAACCACGTTAAATACCATTAATTAAGAAGCTGAAAGACACACATAATTGTGGAGCCCCTCAGATAAGCACACACAACAAAACATTAGCTAAATTTAACTTAAAGAACATCATTGAAAATATAATGGTAATGAGATTTTGAGACATTTTACACATTTAAAAAAAATCAGTCTCGTTGAAAAATTGCTAGTCTAGAATATAATTGTAAGTTTCAATATTTTGGATTTGTATAGTAAGACAACTAAAAGCACAAATAACTTATTTGAATTAGATGCATAAAATTATTTTTATGTAGACTACAAGCAGGTGTAAAACTTCAAATTTGTGCTAAATATAGAAATGACATGTAGATCAAAGATTGTTTTTCTTGCAGGTTTGTAAACTGCCTAGACTTAGCTTGAATGGTGTTCGGTTCAAGAGGATATCAGGAACTTCTATTGGATTTAAGAATATTGCCAGCAAGATTGCAAATGAATTGAAACTGTGACTACAAGGAGAATTTGAATTAGGAGGTTCTCTTGTAGAAGTACCAGTAGGACACAACACAGCTTGATGTTCAAGTCCTAAGTTCGGGTAAAATATTGGGGATGCCTGACCCGTGATGTGTCTGGGTCACACGATTTTGTGAAAAGATTCAGGGAGTCAAAACATATTCCGAAACGTGCCTAACATCCATCAAAGTTACATATGTTTAAAAATGTTGTTATAGAAAAACAAACAAGTTTGTAAAAACTGTTTCAAAGAGACGTGCTGGCACCAAACACGTTTTCGGAGGTGTTTTCAATATGCATTTTCGTGTTTTGACCTGGACTTTAGTATCAGGCTCCCTATAAAGCTCACCTGAAACATCTTAATTAAGAAGCTCACTCCTGAAAGCACTCATCCTCGAGTTGCACAGGCCTCTCCTGAAGCACCTTCGGCTTGTTGGCTTCCTATCCTCACTCTCCAAAGCATACCATGGACCCCTCTCGCTGCTCGAAATCCAGTTGCCTTTCAGGAATATATGATGGCCACAGTACTATTGTTTATATTTATAGACACCAGCTGTCTTGAGAGACTCCTGACCAGTGAAAGACTTGGTATCAATGCATCTGTCGTTTCTCTAGTATCATCAAGAGTGGATTCCTGGTACCATTATATAGTGTGATATCTGAAAGAAAATAAATGACTATAATGTGGAAGATATGTTAATGAACTTGAACAAAGTGTCTTAGTACTTACCCTCTTCCACCAGCACTGGCCAGAGTAGTGCGGTTGTGTAGATGACGTGTGGTGGGAGTGTAAATGGAGCTTCACAAAAATAAAATATATGAACTCAAGTGGACTTTTAGAAGAGTGAGGCAAACCCCCACCATATCATATTTCCGTATGTGTGAACCACACGTCACGTGTAACAGTATCATCCTTACGTGTTGCACTCGCCAGCTAACCAGAAGAATGGTTCCAAAGGAACAGTTAACCTTGTTTTCTTATGTAAATATTTTGGCTATAGGAATGCAAAATTACAGTTGCCCAGTTTTGTTATGTATTACCTATAGGATGAATGAGGTGATTTGAATATTGATATGTACAGTATTGTAAAGATTTGGTCACATAGCTGACTGAGAACATAACCCCAATCCTGGTTAAAACTAGTGTGCAACGTGTAGCATGAGCAGAGCTTGACTCCCAGTTGCCCCGTGCCCTTGTGTAGAAACCAAAGACTGGGACTTCACTTCTGTTGTGCCTGGGTTATAAATATTGAGGAGTAGTGCGTTGCAGTCTGCAAGTGTGAGCCAACTGTCAAAGATGTTTTTTTTTTCTGCCATATGCCCCACCTAGCCTTGTTGTATATTTACCTGCCCGTTGTACATGATGTAGTTTTCTGATTGGTAATCTGTCAATACCACTGATTCTTTTTATTATTCTATATTTTTATTATTATTATTATTATCATTATTATTATTATTATCATTATTATTATTATCTCATGCCTAGCTACTCTGACCTACCCACTCTTCCTCACTGTTTGTCACCCGTACACTCTTTCACCTTCACCCCAACCCCCTACTTTGCCTTCCCTACCCCTCTCCTTTCTACTTTGCCTTCCCTTTCATCTCCCCCATTTCTCTGCACTTTATTATCGACCCAAAAATTTATCCATGTTCTATATTTTCCTGTATGTCCTAGGTCCCACCTGTTATGGAAATCGAGGCTTTTGCTTCATTCCCATTTAATGCTTTTATTTTAATTCTCATCCATTGTGTAGATATATTCTCTTGCATTGTCATTGTCATTTTATTTTGAAATTACTGTAATCATTGTTCATCTTGGTTAGACATACTAGTGGTGGCAGTTAGGTAATTGATTTTTTTTTTATTTTATTTCTTCCTGGGTATATAATCAATCATGTAAATTTATAGTTGCTAATATTTAATAAAAATATGAGATGATAATGTATGGACCATATAGAGAGAGTCTTTCTATACACAACCTTGGGTTTTAACTTTATACAGTATTTCATAATTTTCATTGCAAAACTTGGAAGTATTTTCCATCCCCAACATTTTTATCACAGGTAATCGTGTTCATTAGCTCCCTGATTGGGGTATTTATCTTGCACACACCAAAATCAAATAATGAGGAGTTTTAGTACTTTGAACTTTGGGTTTCTGTTGGTACACAACGGTGATTTGTTTTAAAAGGTTCCTAGTCCCACTGTAACATTAGTGGTGAAAAAGACAACCTTATCTTGTTTGATTAAAAGTTTTAACAAGGTTTATTTAATAATGCTGCTGCATATGTTCATTCCTGTAACTACCTGTGTACATACTCAACTAGTAGCCCTTGAAATACAGTGACAATTCACATTATTTGAGTTTGTTTACCACCTTTATTAGACAAAGACTGCTGTTTATGAACCTAATTTTTAGGTAATAAAAAGCTGTAGGCATTTTTACGTATTAACAAAAGGAATTGTATGCTTCACACACATTTTCAAGTCTAGTTTATTTTTTAAGACTTGATTCAATCTTTTTTGATAGTACATGTCGGATAGGAAATTGATAAGAATGGAAATAAGCAGGTTTAACATTATGGAAGCATCTCTCATACATCACACTTTTCTTCATAATAGGGTTTTTGTACTCTTAAAAAAGGGCTTACAAATAACCTTTATTTTTTAATTGTAGTTAATGATAAATATTTTATTATAAATAATTTATTATCATATAAAATATTTTATTAAAAGTTAATATTGTGCTACTGTGCACTATAAAAAGAACATTGATACTGTAACATAAAATAGAATATTATAATTATACAGTACCAGCAAATACAAAAAGTATTACTGGAGCCTATCTTAAATAATATCTTGACAGGGATTTTGCTAAGAATACAAGACAGGTTGCAATAGATGGGGTTAACAGGCAGTAGTAACCTGGCTGATTAGGTAATTACCTAAGACTGGCCTCAGGCCTGGTTGTAAGAGCATAGAACCTTGTACATGTTAGTTTTACAATTTCTCCATTCCAGGATACTGCAGCAGCACAGAGTTGAAACAGAGAAAATATGATTGTCAAATATTCATATTAAAGCATATATTTTGTAGCATTTAAGACCAGGTGAAGAAATTATGACATGAGAAAAAATAAGTAATGAATAATGTGGCTAAATATAATGCAGTATTATGCACTAATAAATAGTTGATTATACAGGACAGCCTTCAAAATCTGGATTGTATCATACAGACCAGAGTTGAATTTGGAGAAACCTGCATTTCAGAAGGGTTTGTCATGGCTATGTATCGTCAGGTTTTTTTTTTATACAGTATATAAATGTCCTTACAGCAAATGATTGGATACATCAATGTTCATATTCAAACATGCAAATAATAAATAAATATTATATAATATATATATATATTTTATATATATAATATAATAATTTATAATCAAAATTATTTAAATGGTAATTTTTAGTTAATGAAGATTGTTGCTATTGTGGCTTACAATACAGGGAGCCTCAACTTGCAAACAGGATGCATTGTTAAGAACCTTGTGAAACAGTTGTTTAGAACTCCAATCCTGATTTCCCATAGGCACAATGCTGTATATGGGGATAAGATGCTCTTGGCACCAAAAACATTCTTATGAATACAAAATTTAAGGAAAAAATAATTGAAGAAACACTGGTTTTATTTCCCTTGCATGCTGGCATTATCCTGTGTCTTGGATTTTTTTTTTTTTTTTTTTTTTTAGTGAAGATATAAATTTAATAACTAGAAGAGGAAACTGAACATAATGATACATGGCTATGGGAAAGTTAATGGGTTTATTTTGGAAAAAGATAAAAGAATAGCTAATGTAGAAATCAGGAGGAAGTAGTTAAAGACCATCAAGAGGTTAATTAAATTTGGGATTTCAGAACGTCAAAGAATGGTGCTAGAAATATCACCCATATCAGTTTCTTAGATTTCTAAAATATAAATTATCGACTATCGTACTCGAGTAGACTATGGAAACCAGAATAAAGTTGAGGACCACATATTGGAAAAGGAAGAGACCATGTTGATGTGACCAGTAATAATAATGTGTGCATCGGTGAGTCAACAGGTGACATGAAAGTGGGGTGAAAAGTAAACTTTTTGGAATTCCAGGACATGTCACAATGCAGAAAAGTATCAGATGGTAATATAATGTTGATAAAGACAGTCCTAAATTTGAGAAATGTGTGGCACTATCATCCAGATGGATGATACAAATTTGGGAAAGCAGGTGCAAGAGAGACCTTGGGTTTTGATTGGCAATGACTCGAGTCAGTCAAAATTGTAACTAAAGCAAATAATGCATGGGTTTATAACCAGAAGTGTCTACAATAAATGTACAAGTATGGCCTTGAACTATGACTATGCCATCCAATTTTGCTTAGCATATTGTAGTGGGGAATCAGCTCTGTAGGAAATCTAACTTTGGATGACTAATCCCTGATATTTGAGACACCTCATATAAGGAGAGGTTAAGAGAGCTTGATTTACATTTCTGTAGAGGGGAGAGATGATCAAGGTCTTTAAGTGGATGATGGAGATGTTCTTATTTCCAGCTTCCCTTTCTTGAAGAATTCTACATAGAAGTGTTATTCCTCCTATGATCCTGACTAAATCTTTGACTGCTCCATACTTTTGTATTAGTACCTCAAACCTAATTTTTCTAGTCCGTCCTCATAAACAAAGGCCAAAGTCCATTCCTCGCACCTGCCAAACCCTTTGTTCATGAATGAAAAACATTTTACATGTGACTTAAAATAACCCATCCTCTCACTAGGCTGGTTAAAGCAGTGGCCATCCTCCCCAGACTCGCTCATCAATTTTAACATACTGTATTAAAAATTGGCATGTTCTTGTATATAAATCAATATAATTATTCATAAAAAATTTATGCATAGTTAGGCGTAGGTTAGGTGTTTAGGTTCTGTTAGCGTTTTATCTGTATTTGTAGTACGTGGGTGAAGCATTTATAGCAACCCATCCTTGACTCGCGTCCATTACGGTCGACTCCACAGACGCATTCATAAATTTGTATATGCTGTTCATTCAAAATGGGAGTTTTCTCAAATATAAATTAATATTATAATATATTAGCATATTGTGCATATATAGGCATAGGTTAAGTTAGGTTAGGTGTTTAGGTTCTGTTCAAGTTCAAATATGTTTATTGAGACGAGCAAAAATACATTTCAAAGGGATAGAGTAGCTTAGGCTATTTCTACCCCCCTCTACTTCAAGTCCCTCAAGGGACGCACAAATTCAGTGAGTACAAATACACATATCACAATACAAGAATCCCATATAACATTGCAGGTTAATATAGTAAGCACAGCATATAAGTACTACATTCTTGGGGCAAAATTCTTGAAGCTCCTAAGTATACTGTCTATCATACCATTTTTCTGAGGTTGGAAGAAAACGTGCTCAGATTGGAGACTTGTTTATTTTATAATGGTAAATCGGCCTCCTCCCGATTGTGCTTCAAATAACAGCCACCTACTGGAGAAAAACCAGTGCCCCATAACAACACCGAGGGTCACCTCCCCCTCTAGATCCACTACACCTGCATTTGGTCACCAAGGCTGAACCAACAGGCGTGCTTCAGGAGCGCGCCAACACACACTGTACCTTAAATGTTGAGAAGGGCAGGACGCCCCTGACGGGTCGCTCTGAGTCGTTGTCGATAGAAACTGGTGTAGGGTCCATGCTGGGGGAACAGTTGAGCAGGTTAAACTTCTGTGTTTACGACTCATTGAGCAGCAGTGAGCAACATTTTGTAAGAGAGCAGCTGCTGGCTTGTCGGAAAGAGGGGCCACGCAGTCTGCAGGCCGGGCTTATATAACCTCGGCTCGTTGCGCGCACAGCTTGGGCAGTTAAAGTTAGCATAAAGTCAACGTATTCAGACATACGTTTTCTCTTCCCTCAGAAACCCCACCGTTTTTGGGAAAAAACAGTGTTCTTATCACACATCCAAACAATTTGATATGGTACACTACTTATTTCCTTATTTCTATAGTTACCAATAAGTTGACACTCTCATACATAATGCTTAGAGTGTGGGCGTGCGGTATACTACATAATTAGCGCTATGTCATGGGTTCGTATCCTGGCCGGGGAGGATTTACTGGGCGCAATTCCTTAACTGTAGCCTCTGTTTAACGCAACAGTAAAATGTGTACTTGGATGAAAAAACGATTCTTCGCGGCAGGGGATCGTATTCCAGGGACCTGCCCGAAACGCTACGCGTACTAGTGGCTGTACAAGAATGTAACAACTCTTGTATATATCTAAAAAAAAAAAAAAAAAAAAAAAAAAAAAAAAAAAAAAAAAAAAAAAAAAAAAAAAAAAAAAAAAAAAAAAAAAAAAAAAAAAAATTGGTACACAACATCACAAACCTTCTTACCACTATCAACTGCCTCAACTATGCTGGAATAAAACGATAGCAAATTTGTTACACGTGAACGGTCATTTGTAAAACCATGTTGTGACTCGTTTATCAATTTATGTTTTTCAAGATGAAAACGAATGGTATTTGCAATTTCTCATTTTAGATTTCAAAGATGTTATTCTCAAAAATACCTGTTCAACAAGGGAATTACTGATTGGTAAGCTATATATTTTCAGCTTATAAACTTTGCGAGGTCAAGAGGTCAATCTTGGGCTCCCCGACCGCGTTCTTGACATATCCACAACCCGCGCTGGCAACAAAAACTATGGCGTCATAGTGACGTCACACCTCGTGCAAATTATGGCCATACATTTAAACACAATATTGTATCTATTATTTTCATTACATTAGATTATATTCGGGTAGGTTAGAGTAGGGTTAGTTAGGTTAGACTAGACTGGGTCAGGTTTATTTAAGAATAGCGATGACGTAGCCGATTCCAACTTTTCGCAGGTGTTAGACCCAAAGTGATGTAAACAGTATGTAGTGAAGAAACGTAAACAACGTCCCAAAATTCCTGAATATATAAAGGTACAGAGGTACATAGTATAAATTCCTGAATCAAACCCTTCATGCAAACTGCACCTACCATCAAAAAGAAGAAATTCCTGATTACGGCACGCAAACTGCACGTTCCGTGCACAAGTGCTGCTGTTGCCTGTACGCAAACAACGTGCCGCACTCTACACATTACACACACAAATCACAATTGCGTGATGCTTAACAAACCTCAATGTAGGTCTGAAAACAGGAGCTGTTTTTTCACCCACAGGGTTATAAACCCATGGAACTACTTACCCGCCGAAGCCGTAAATGTCAAAACACTGTCAAATTTTAAGATCTAGCGTGAACAAATCATCAAAATAAATGGGGGGACCTTT